AGAATGCAGCCTCCTGGCAGCCAGATAACAAGACAGAGACAAGAACCCGCAAGCTGCTGGGGCCACTATCCTGGGATGCCACCTAGCGGCCACTGTTGAGTTAGCTTCTCAACAGGTCAGCGGCCCCAGGATCTGACACCCACCCTCCTCCTCTCCCCAACTTGATCCTCCTGTCCCTAATCTTTCCCATAGGCACACAATCCCAGGATCAGTAAACCCTGACCCCGAATTTATATTTTGCTGGGCTTTATTATTCCCTTAATTTCCCAGGAAAGCTTTCTTCAAAAACTATCAATCTTGTAAAAGCCCTGGTCCAGGCTCTCCAGTCTCTGAGTTTACCAGGACCTGCTTCTATCTTTTTTTGGGGGGAGGGAGGGGTTTTCCCCCACCAAATCACTCCCTTTTTGGCTTGTTATGTATATATGCAGAGGTTAGTCTGGAAATCTCCCAATATAGTTCATATCTAGGTCTTCATAGACATAGCTTAAAGGGTACCTCCAGCTCCTATATAAGCATTCAAGGTAACTGCATATATGTAACAATGCATACACACACACATATTCAATGTAGGACAGCCTTTATTTCACCGCACAAAAAATACAAAGGAGACCACAAACAAACACAGAAAACACATAAAAGATTCACAATGTCCCCCAAACTTTTGATGCCATTCTTAAGATTGTAGACTGAGAACTGGAAGGGGCCATTTAGTCTAAACCCCTTTACTTTACAGATAAAGAAACTAAGCCTTAGAAAGACTAAGTGACTTGTCCAAGGTAATAGGGGCAGAGATGGGATTTGGGCCTATTCAGTCCCTAGAGCCATTGCTCTTTCTACAAGAGCCCTGAAGTTCTCCAGGCTCATTGTCTTCTTGTGGTTTGGACACTTTTTTGAAGGGAACTGAACTTGGAACTGTTAGTAGGGCAGCCCCTTTACATTCTGTTGAGTTCTACTTTCCAAAGGGAAGCATATGGTCCCCTCCCCTTCTCCCCAGTAGCACCCTGTTGTGGAAGTCATCTGCATAGAGGTGGTAGCTGATGTCACTGGCACGGATAAGAAAGAAGATAAGAGGGCCAAAGAGAGACCCTTAGGAAACATCCACAATAAGGGGTCAGGGGAAATAAAAGGATGGTGAGACAACCAAAAAGACAAAGAAGTATTTAGGGAGGGAGAAGAGACCCAGCAGAACGTGGGTACCTTCAAACCCTAGGGAGAAAAGAATATTCAGGAGGAGGGAGTGCTAGAGATGCAGCCCTCAGGAACACTCATCACTTGACTCCATGGTTCTCCTCTCCATATTGCCTCAGTCTCTGGTTGGGAAGTTATGAGACTGCCTTTCCAAAGCTGAGCCTAGGAACTCAACATCATTTGGGAACTCTCCTCTCAGGCCATGTGGGTAAGCATATGCCTGCCTTGATCATCTGCCTTTCCAGGAACTCTCGATATTCTATCACTGCTATCTACTGGGCCAAGAGGCTGCTCTCTCTAGGAAGTAGGGAGATATGGGTGAGAGGTGAGTTCCTGAACCTCGAGTCGGGGGGCTCAAGCACGCCATGTTCTTTGATCCCAATCCAGCCATTACTGACTCTTAGAGTAGGAACTTCCTCTTTATCCCCAAGACACCTACTGTGCTTAAGAAGATGGAAAAGAGAAGGTCAAAAGGGGACTGTAAGGTCCATTTTATAGGCCAGGGCCATAAATAGTCTGTTCAACAAAAGTAGGAGCCAACCAGTTCATCTGGATGACAGCCCCCATCAATGTGGCCCATCCTATATGGAGCACCAACAGTCATGTCCATCCCCTTTATTGGAAGAGACAAAGACCATACATAGAGTCACCATCCTGTAAGATCAACATAATCAAAGAATTTCCTTATCAACTGCCTAAAACATACCATTAGAACCATCCCAAAATCAATTTGGCTGCTGGGAGTAGTAGGCCCCCGGCTTTGTGGAACAGACGGTTTGTAGGACCTTATTCTGGCCTATAAAAGGAAGCCCTTTTGGCCTTCTCTTCATCTTCAGACAAAGGCTGGCCAACCATTTGTCAGGCATTTTGTAATCACAGAAGTCTGTGATTCTATGGCTGAATTTTCAAGACCATGTGACTAAAGGAAGGTGATGCTGTTGACAGGACCATTGGGAGGGTGGGCAGGCTTGGGAGTGGGGGGTTAAGATTCTGTTTTAGACAAAAAAGGAAGTAAAGACGAATCTGGCAGTACAGATTGGAGAGGGAGAGACTGGAGGTGGGCGTTACAGTCAAGTTTACGAGGTCTGGAGAAAGGCCTGGAGACTATATCCTTCCACAGTGACCATATGTTTATTTCCAGTACCCACTTTCCCAGCCCACATGGTAGGCTGTGTCTGTGAAGCACTTGTTCAATATTCCAGAACCAGGTTAACTTCCCTAGGATTCCAGTTTATACACCCGAGGATCTGGGCCTGGAGTTCACCCTAAGCAAACTTTGGGATTTGTCCTCCAGGTGCACTGGATCAGGGTCATCGGTCACTTCTATTATCTCAAGTTACCTCTAAGCCAATCAGAAAGCTTCCCAAGGGTGTAATCAGGTCTCATCATTTTAGGGGTAGATTCAGAGCATAAAACTAAGGACATTATCAAATCATAGAAAAGAATAGTGAAAGAGTTGGAATCATGTATGATCATCAGTAATGGGATAAGCTTGGGAGATACTGTCATTACAGTTTAGAACAGTACTAGACACAGTCGGTCACTCAAAATTCTTGATAAGAGCCATGGAAGGTAATATAGTGCCTGGAGATTGATGGCTATATTCCCTTTTCTGAAGAGAAGTCAATTCCAAAAAAATGGAAGCCTTCAAGGACAGAGATTGGCCAGTGAAGGAAAAATTAAGGATGCTTCACTCTCTGGCAGTGCTGAGTCTAAACTCGCCACAGCAAGAAAGTCATAAGCCCAAGCTAGGAATCTTCTCAGGTCCGTGTTCCCCAGGAGAAATGCAAGAAAGCATGACTACAAACACAGAAAAAGTGGGGACCCTCCTGGGGAGCAGTAAAAGGGCAGCTTCCCTGCCTGGCCCCACCCGGTGATTGCCCCTCAATTCGTGCAGAATCTGAAGACTTTGAACCCCTGACATCACGTGGCAAGAATGCATGCAAAGATCAGAGGGACCCTTTGGCAGAGGACAGACGATGCAGGAGGCATATGCAGGGATAAAAAGGGAAAGACCATCTCCTTTGGAATACAGGGAGAGGGTCTGCTCAGAAGCCGGTAGAAAGAGGAGCAGCGCAACCCACGGAAGCAAAGTCAAAACAAAGTAGGTGGGTGATGACCAGGTGCAGGATCAAAAGGATTATAGATTTCTAGCTGGCAGGGCCATGATGGTAATGCAAGCACCGCTACAGGAAAAGGAGAAGAAATGGAGGAAATGGCCAGTTGTCCGGCAGCTTATGTGACATAGTAGATAGAGTGCTGGGCTCAAAGTCAGAAGACCTGAGTTCTAATTCTGCCTCAGACCATCACTGGCTGTGTGGACCTGGGCAAGTCACTTTACCTACCCTCAGTTTCCTCCTTTGTGAGGTCCCCCCTTACTACTACTGCCTTCTGAGATAAACTTCAGGTCATCCTCTATGTATCTTCTTTGTGGGCAGCTAGGGGGCACAGTGGATAAAGCACTGGGCTTAGAATCAAGAAAACTCATCTTCACAAGGTCAAATCCAGCTTCAGACACTTACTAGCTGTGTGACCCTGGACAAGTCACTTAAATGTTATTTGCCTCAGTTTCCTCACCTGTAAAATGACCTGGAGAAGGAAATGGCAAACCATTCCAGTATCTTTGCCAAGAAAACTCTAAATGGGATCTCACAGAGTCAGATATGACTGAACAACAAATCTTGTTTACATGTTTACATGCTGTCTCCCCCATTAGACTGTGAGCTCTTTAAGGGCAGGTGCCTGCCTTTTTTTGTATCCCCAGGACTTAGCGCAGTGCATGGCATATATATAGTAGGTGCTTAATAAATGCTTGGTAACTTGACTTAATAATAAGCACCTACCTCACAGGATTGTTGTGAGGATTAAATGAATGAATATGTGTAAAGTACTTTACAAACCTTAAAGGGTTTGTAAATGCTAGTTGTTGTTGGAGTTGTTACTGAGGAAAAGGGCATCCAAATTGGTCTTTGAGGCTGAAGATCACTGATCTATCTGGAAGGTTTCTAGTCAGAGTCCCTTACCTTACAGATGAGGAAACAGAAACCCTGGCGTTTAAATGACCTGCCCCAGGTTACATTGGTAAGTAAGTGTCAGAGAGAGGATTTGTACTCTTCCCACTACCTCCCTCAGAGAATGGCTAGATTGAGAAAACTCCAACTCCAAACTGACTGGGGAACAGCTTCTCTTGTGTGGGCCACAGAAGCAAAGGAAAGAGTTCTCCACTGCTTGTGGAGATTTAAGGGCAGAATCCTGCAGAAAACCCATCAAGAAATGGGATCAGGAGCAAACACAATTTTGTTTGGGAAGACAAAGGATTAGGGGAAACAGAGGTCACAGTCGTCTAAGGAAGAATCTCACGAGCCACTAATGTACAACCAGCAGGGCCGGGATGCTCATGCAGTGAGGGATACATTAAACAGAAGACAAAGGTGTGCCATATTTCCAAATGGAATTTCAATTGGAATTCCTAAATTCCAATTTAGATAACAGTCTAGTCCAGGGACAGATGTCCCGCCACTCCTTACCCCCACCCCCCACCCCCACCCCAGATGCTGAAGACTCGAGGTATCAATTTTCTGTGGCTCCACGACCTGGGACTCGGACAATCTCGTACAGAAATGACAGTGAAGATGGACGGCACGGACTGCTCTGCTGCGCCAGAGTGGATCTCGAGTGACCCACTGAATGCCAGTTATTTTAGGAACCACTTTTGAGGAAAATATCTTCACAGCCTATCAAAGGCCAGATCGAGTGAAAGGACTATCCACGTTTCCCTATTTGGCATACCCTGATGGTTGTGTCTTAAGCAGATGCTCAGGTCCTCCCTGGAACAGCAGTGTCCGGACCGGACCAGACCTCCAGACTCAGACCTCCCCATTCGTTCCCTGTGGGAGTTAATCCACTCTGTTTTGGAATTCCTTCCCTGGGGTTGAGTGTCCCTAGACTGGTGAGTGCATGGGTGTAACACACTCCTAGTCCTCTTTTCACATGTAGCCTCTAGATATCTATATATCACACCACTGTACACCAACCAGCCCATCTTCATTTCCACCTCTTGCTTGGGGAATGGTAATCAAATCACTACCTTGCTTCTGGAAGATGCATGACAGTTCTCCATCGACAGCTCCATCCACCATCTCTGCGGACTCCCTACACCTTAGTAAATTCCTTTCCCCAGTCCTGCATATATGTTACCTCCCCCTATCAGAATATAAAGAGCAGCTAGGTGGTACAGTGGATAGAGCACTGGACTTGGAATCGGGACAACTCATCTTCATGACTTCAAATCTGGTTCAGACTCTTACCAGCTGTGTGACCCTGAACAAGTCACTTAATCCCAATTGCCAAAAATAAATAAATAAGTGATAGAGTAGGGACAACAGAGAGGATAATCTGAGATGAGATGGGATCACTTGAATAAGTAGAGGACACTGTTCCCCTTGGTAAGGAGTAAGGCCACTTCATCATATGAGATAGGGGTAAAGGAAGAATGATGGGAGGATGTGGGAGAAGAGAGAGCTTGAGATGAATGGCCTCAATATTTCTCTAAAATAAGAAGCAAGGATCTCAGCCGAGAGTGGGAGGAAAGGAAGCCATGGAAGGTTTAAGGAAGGATCCAAAGAGGACAAAGCCTTATGGCACTACCAGATAGAGACGACAGTCCGGACTGACGTTGAGCCCTGCGGTCCTTTCACTAGTTACGAATCCATCTAACTGCATTTTCATCTAGTCAATAGACATCCATCTTGTCCAAAAGGGAATCAAGAGAAGCTCTTACATGCTTCAGAAACCCAAGACATTCAGGATCCCCGCAATGAGTCATCCTTATAACTCGTTTAAAAGAAAGGGAATGGAGTTAGTCTGGCAGCGGACAGCCCGTTAAATCTCTCAGTGCTCTTCCTTTTCAATTTTATAGACCCCTAAAGCCTCATTAAAGAGGCATCTGGAAGTCAGATCCCTTCTCCCTCCCCCCACATCCTGCACTTTGTATGGATGGCCACTGGAATGATCTTCTGTCCTGTCTTTCAGTCTGGGTCTTTGTTCTGCCATTGAGTGTCTGACCCTAGCCAGAAGCTTCCTATACTTTAAGGAGGGTGGGGAGAAAGGAAAGGGGTTTGTCATGATCAAGGATACAGCAAAGTTCCTGAGTCAGTCACCCCTTATGACCTCATAGGCACTTCCCACCTCTCCTGCTTAGACCAGGCCACAGTTGTCAAAGCAGGTCAGAGGGTGACAACTACTTGCCTCCAAACCATGGGATGTATAGCCTGTGTAAGGGCTGGGCTAGGTTGGAAAGTGGAGGGACAGCGGGGTGGCAGCTTCGGATCCTGGTGGGGAGGGTGGTGGGAGGGAAAGATAGACTGACCTAGGAGAAGGGCGAGAGAACAGGTGTCCTCTGGAGGGCTCTAAGTAAATCTGGGATCTAGGGGCCAGGGGCTAGTCTACAGGAAGAATGGCCACTCAATGCCAACACCTCCCAGCCCGCTCTTCTCATCTGCCCCCTTTCCTCTCCTCTTGCCCCGGTTCTGGCACAGAAGGATAATACAGGATCTGAAAATGAATGTAATGACTTTGAAGAAAAAAACATGGTAGGTGAACATCGGGCATTTCCTTGGGGTGGGTTGGGAGGGGGCAGAAGACATCTCTCAGGATGGAGAAGAGGATCAGTCCTGTAGGGGGATCCAGAGCTCTGAGTAGCACACTTTCTTGGTACCAGGGAGCTGTGTTTGACTGTGTCTCGGACAAATGATGCATGAAGGAATATGTAGCAAGGCTTGAATCACAGGTCACGCGCAGCTGGTAGGGATTGGAAAGTTAGAGGAGGCATCAGATGTCTGGAATAGAATGGGGATTGGAGATGAGTCCACGGAAGCTCAAGACTGGGCCTGACGTGAGAACACTGGATTCTCCTCCAGTAAGGTAGGAGTCAGGGTGCTTTCTGCCAGGCCAAGGAGAAAGGCCATCCTAAGTGGTCCCTCCTGGCTCTGCCCTACTCACTGCAGCAGATACAGATGAAGGAAGCTGCAAGCTGGAAGATTCAGGCATGGTGGCAAGGAATGTTGGTCCAATGGGCACTGCTACATGCACCCCTCCAAGCTTGGATCATCCAGTGTTGGTGGTGGGGGGCATATGCAAGGCTAGTGGCGTTCCAACACTAGTCCACATGAGGCACATCCACTAGGACTGCTGCCACTCTGCCACCTGCTTCATCCAGTCTTGCTGGCAGTACGGTTGTCAGAGGCATAAAAACAACATACCCAGCCAGTTTGAGGCAGCATGCCAATGTCTAGCATTTGACACCAAAATTCTAATGGTTTAAGGGGCAGTTGGGCCTGGTGGGGAGAGGGCACTAGATCTTCCTTGCCCAATAAAGGACATCCTCAGGCCCACTGTCTCCTTCACTGACTCTTCATTCCCTCAAAATGCAGACCACACCCCATCTCATCTCTATGCCTTCTACTTGGTGATCTCATGAAGTACAACGTCAATGCAGATGGCCCAGTGAAACATACCCAAGAATGGACATGCCTTTGGCAAGGGCTGCTTGACGTATTTTATCAAAAATCTGCACAAAGGTACTCACCAGAATTTTCAGAAGATGCCAACATTGCGAGTGAAGGTTGACAGGTTGCATGACAAGTCAGTATCCCAAAAGAATTCAAAAGGCTAGAACATAGGGCTGAATCGATTAAGATGAAGTGTAATAGTGACAAAGTCAGATACTTGGGCTCAAAAAGCCAGGCGCTCAAATCCAAAAGAAAATGGAGATCTTAGTGGACTGCAAACTCTAGATAATAAGGGAACATGGCAACCAAAAGATTATCACCACATCTTGTGCTGCACTGAGACATGTTTAGAACACGAGAGCTAAAAATCCCATTGCCCTCTGCTTGATTGGGGTGGTAAGGAAGCCTATTCTGGAATATTCCACTTAGTTCTGGGAGTTGTTTTAGAAAGGGAGCACTGATGATCTGGAGAGTATCCAGAGGATGGAGATCAGGATGGTGAGGGGACTGGTCACAGTATCATAAAAGGATAAGCTAAAGAAGCTCAAGATGTTTAACCTGGAGAAGACAGACGGCTTTGCAAGGAGGGCTAGCGGAGGGAAGGACATGACAAGTCACTCTCAAGTATTTGGAGGGCTAACATAAGGAAGAGAGAATGATGGGTAGAAATTTTAGAAGCAGATTTTAGTTTCTTATACAGAAAAACTTTCTAGTAACCAGAATGATCAAAAAGTGAAATCAGTTGTCTTGGAAGATGAGTTCCCTCTTTCTTAAAGTCTTCAAGCCAAAGCCTTCTGACTATCAAAATACTTCAGGCTGGATTATTGGTCAGGTATAAGGCAGCTAGGTGGCTAGAGCACTGGGTTTGTAGTGAGGCAGCCCTGAGTCCAAATCCTGCTTCAGGCACTACCTAACCCTTCTTAGCCTGTTTTCTAATCTGTAAAATGAGGGGACTGGACTATCATGTACTTTCCAGCTCCAGACCTATGGTCCCTTCCAACTAATTCTGACTGCCAAATGTGATTTCCAGCCCTAAACAACCTGTTTCCTGAGGTTCTAGACCCATCTCCAACTACTAAGGTACACACCCACTCGAGTATGTCACTGGCATCTCAGCGTCATAAACCAGCTTTCCTCAACTTTCGTATTTCTGTTGCTGGCAGCATCACCATCCTTCCCACCTCCCCAGGGTCAAACACCTTTCTCAAGACTCCTTTACTCCCACATCCAATCCTTTCCCCAAGTTTTGGTCTCACCTGTGCCTCTCACATCCAGATCCTTCCTTTCTCTCGAATGCCATCGTTCCCGTCCAAGCTCTCATCACCTTACATCTGACTGGTCTGTTATTGATACAGGGGCTGAACACTTGGTCAGAAAGAGCTCTCACAGGAACCCCATGGTAGCACTGGGCACAGGATTGGATGCCACTTGACTGCTGTCACCATTAATCCAGTTCGAGGTCACCATCATGAGGGAACAGGGGCCCTACCTGGGTATGAGCAGAATGCAGACCTGGAGGGCAGTGACCAGACCTCTCACATCACTCTGGGGGTACTACAGAACTCAGATCAAGCTACGAAAAGCAGGACGTAATAGAAGCCCAGATCAATCATCCACCTTCAGATATGAGCAGAGTCCAACTCGTAACATCAAGTCCAAATTCAAGAAATAGACTGGAAAAATGAGCAAACAATAAAAAAAGAACCTGACCATTAAAAGCTAATAAGGTGACAGGGAAGTTCAAGACAGAAAGTTAGAAGAGAGCAATGACAAGAAAGTATCTACAAGCAAAACCTTGGGTGGTGGTGGTGGGGAGGGCAGAATGCAGACTGGACAAAAGCCCAACAAGAATTCCTAGAAAATCCAAAGGGATAAAAGAGCAATATATATGAATGTATGTGTGTGTGTGTGTGTGTGTGTGTGTATATATATATACATATATATATATGATTTTAAAAATAAGAGTGGTAGAGCAAAATTGGTGAAAGAAATGAGAGCTATGCAAGAAAATTATGGAAGACAACAGCTTGGTAAAAGAGGCACAAAAAATACTGATGAAAATAAACTTCTTAAAAACCAGAATTGTCTAAATGGTAAAAGAGGTTTAAAAAAAAAAATCTTATTGAAGAAAATATCCCCTTAAAAATTAGAATTGGTCAAAGGGAAGCTAATTTCTACATGAGCTATCAAGAAATAATAGAACAAAGTCAAAAGGATGAAAAAAATTGAAGAAACTGGAATATTTCATAGGAAAAACTGATGAAAATAGACTGAGATAATTTAAGAATAACTGGATCACCCCAAAGCCATGATCAAAAAAAGAACCTAGACATAGTATTTCAAGAAATTATGAAGGAGAGCTTTCTGGATATCCTAAAACCAAAAGGCAAAATAGAAATGGAAAGAATCCACTGATTGCTTCCTGAAAGAGATCCCAAAAGGAAAACTCCCAGGAATATTATAGCCAAAATCCAGAGCTCCCTGGTCAAGGAGAAAATACTGAAAGCGGCCAGAAAGAAATAATTCAAATGCTATGGAGCTACAGTAACGATGCAGCTATAAAGGAATGGAGGGCTTAGAATATGATATTGCAGGAGGCAAACAACCAAGGATTACAACCAAGAATAACCTAGCTAGCAAAACTGAGTATAATCCTTCAGGAGCCAAATGGATATTTAATGAAAGAGAGAACTTTCAAGCATTCCTAATCAAAAGACCAGAGCTGAAAAAGAACATTTAACATTCAAACATAATACTCAAGAAAAACATAAAAAGGTAAAGATGCATGAGAAATCACAAGGGACTTAACATGGTTAAACTGTTCACATTCCCATATGGGAAGATGATACATGTAACCCCTAAGAATATCAATAGGTTAGCTAGAAGGAATCTACTATGTTGGTATGTTCTCAAAAGAAGAATAAAAGCATGAGAAAGAGGGATGCCCCGGGAGAAGGTAGAGGAAGAATGGAAAAAATTATCTCACATAAGAGAGGAACACAGCGGGCAACGCTCGAGCTTCACCCTCATCTGAACGAGTTTGAGGAAAGAGTATATATGCACACACAGCTGGGTATAGAAATTCCCTTTACTCAACAGGGAAGTAGGAGGGAAAGGGGGCTAAAAGAGAAGTGTGGAGGGGTGATAAGAGTGAGGGTAGATTAAGGGAGGCAGTGCTCTGAAGTAAGAAACCACAGCTGGTTTGAGGGAATTGGGGGAAAAGATAAAAAAGAGGCTTCCTGGAGAAGGTAGCATCTGAGCCTCTAAGGAAAAATCAACCAGCTTTTATTAATTAACCTGTGCGCCAGGTGCTTGGGGTAAGGGGAAAGGGAGGCTGTCCCACCCCTTAAGCAGCGATCATTCTACCAGGGAAGATATCGCCTATCCCCAGTTGAGTAGAGAAAAATAGGATTATAGATGTAAAAGTCAATCGTATCATGTTATATACATGAGTAAACCAAGGCACAGAGAAATGAAGTGACTTGTTCCAGATCAAAAGTGCCAAGGAAAGAATCTGAACCCGGCTCCCGAACCCGTCACTTCCCTTGATATCATGCTACCTCTTACTGACTAACCACTATGTGAATAAGAACTGCAAAAACTCTGGAAAACTATGGGGCAGCTAGGTGGCGCACTGGATAAAGCGCCAGCCTGAGAATCAGGAGGACCTGAGTTCAAATGTGTCCTCAGACACTTAAACACTAGCTGTATGACCCTGGGCAAGTCACTTAACCCCGACTGCCTCACCAAAAAAAAAAAAA